AGAATGGGAGAATTATAGACTATATTGTGTCATGTCACGAAAAAAATTAATAACTCTCTAATAAAATTTGTGAAAATGGTTTGGGATCTGCTTAAGAAGTGCATGAAGGCATATCTAAAAGACCGAAATTATCTTGCAAATATTCATGAAAATATTAAAAAATTAATGGTCGTGGGGTCAAAAAAAAACAACTGAAAGGGTAAGAGGGTCAAGTGAAGTGAGTTTAAATTGAAGATGAAAGAGCATATGTGTACTTTATTCGGTGTTTGTGGGGAAAGACACAGCCACTTATTCAAGCATACCAATTGGTGTTAAGTAAACTTACACGTTCTGTGATTTTTGTTGATGTACATGACATGAACTAGAAACGATCTTTCCATTAAATAGTATAATCTTTACATGCCAATACATTTCATCAGGGCTAGTGATCTACCTCCCATTACTGTCATTGGTGTTGCTCTGCCATCTCTCTAAAAGTAATTCAGAAAACCAACTTTGAAGAATAGAAATGTCTCCTTCATATTTTTACATTATCCGAAAAAATGTACTGTACATATACAAATACATCTCTAGGATTACCAGACACAATGCAACATAGCGTGTGATGTAAGAAATAATAAATAAAAATTGCAATGTTGTGTAGTGATTGCATCATCAAGCAGATTCAGTTCCTTACGGCAAAAGAAGAATACCGATTTTCTTCTCTGAGTGAAGAACAATACATACACAAAATTTGGAATAGAGGAAAAAATAAACTAAATAAATAAAATGTATAATTGTATTGTAAAGAAAGGATTTTATAATTACAGTAGAATTGAACTACTAATTACTGAAACACAAGTTAACGAAATAAAACTTTTATTGCATAAGTAACCACGGTCACATGTTTATGTAGCAGTAATCCCTCAGAGGAACGTGCACAATCGGTATCTTCTTTTGCCGTAAGGAACTGAACCTGCTTGACGATGCGATCACTACACCATGTTGCAATTTTCTGACATCGCACACTATGTTGCAGTATGTCTATAGATGTATTTGTATATGTACAGTACATTTTTTTGGATAATCCGATAATACCACACTCCCAATTAGTTCGGAATATCATAGTTCTACTGTATGAATCTCTTAATAAAATAAAATACTAACATTAACATTTCCTACTGTCCATTCATCACATTTCTTTTTCTATTCATTTTGCTTGTAGTTTTAAATGATGATTCGCAGGAAGCAAGTTCGAGTTCACAGATCACACTTAACCCATGGGTTATTTCCTGTCATCCGTTACTGCGACCCACATTGGCCTCGGGTCATCCTCCGTCAATCCAGCGGTCCCTCCGATCGCCACATTAATAAACCCTACAGGATTTTCACTGATTGCTGAAGGCTGCCTCCTTTGCTGGCTAATGCAAAGTACCGATAATGCCTCCACCCTAATCAGTAGCCTGGTGGGCCAACCCAGTTTCTCTCCTGTACCCTCCATGGACCACATCAGGCAGTCCAAAGGTTCATGACCCTTCCATCTCTATTTACTTTCCATGCTCCTCAGGGGTACTTCTTCGTCTGATCCCTCCCAATTTACCTGTCAGGCAAGGGAGGCCCTACCAGTAGCTTGGCTACCACCAGCATAGCTCTCAGGGTCATTGGGGTACTCAAGCCCCACCATCGTCAAGGTCATGTACTCCGGAGGTGGAGTTGTTGTTGTTATTATTATTATTATTATTATTATTATTATTGGCATATAAGCCATTACTGACCACCTGCACGATTAACGTTTGTCATTTTTTTAGCTGTATCCCTCAGTACAACAAGGTTGTTATGCCTTGAAGTGTGAATTATAAGATGATAGGATGATGATGAGAGGTGAAAGGGCAATCACAAATACGACCATGTCTACGCAGGATTTGAACCTGCAGCCTCCTTGGAGCAGATGATGATGATTATTTCTATTATTATTATTATTATTATTATTATTTGCATATTGGCCCTTTCTGACCAAGCTACACATTCTCTTCCGAGGCCCAATCATATTCAGGTTTTGTTGCCTTCTTACAGCTTTCTTCTTTATCTTCATTATGACCACATGGGTGCAGTTGAACTGAAACAGGTGTGAACTGAAAGAGGTGACTCAGTGCATCTACTGGTGTCACCATAGTCTCGCTAACTGGGAGATCCTAGGCTGGGGCGATGCCACGCTGGTGGGAGATACCTGGTCGAGGAAAAATCTCACCATCCAGCAGGAAGATCTCACCATCGAACGGGGAAAGATCACCGCCTCCTCCCAATGAAAAAACATGCACTTCCTGACGGAACTAATTACCCTAATAGTTGATGTGCCCAGAATCACTAACAATCAATAATTAAACTGATTTTTCAGACCCCTTTAATTTATTTTCTTGCCAGAGTCTCGTCTGAAATTATATGATTAATTTATATTTATGACAGGCATCTATAAATTTAAATTTGTCTTGAAAACTCTTAAAATTGGCTAAGGGCTCATGTCCTGCGATAGTGACAAAACTCAAAGAATTAGCCTGAAACAGATTAGATTTTTCAGAGCTATTTCTTCGTGAATGCTTGCCTGAGTAAGTTTATTGGGAGGGAGGGGTTTTCGTGATGTTGCACCACTGTATTCATTATGTGCACTTGAAAATTCAAAACTTCTGAAAAACAAGCGTTTTTGAATTCCTACCACGTTGCAGTAAATCAGCATTTTGTTTTGTAAGTCATTAGTATTTTATTTCTAGGTCACACCGTCGCAAGTTCAGCCATTACGTGTTGAAGAGAATCAACGTGCAAATAGTCCTCAAAGCAGGTGTGCTGTAAATGTAAGTAATTTGCTTGGCTTTGACTTCATGCTAGTCATCAATGAATGAAATAAATCTTGAACATTTTGAAACTCATGTAATATGTTTGGAAGAAAGTATGAAACTGCCCCAGGTAATATCATTATATATAATTATTAAAAAGTAAGAAAAATATATTTTTGATAAAAAATCAACAAGATTATCTTGGGCCACCCAGAATCTTATATTTTGTGAACAATCTCTTCTTCATAACTACCCCTTTTTCTGTCATTGTAAAAATTAGTTATATCATTGTCAATTTCAGTGCTACTTTGCCAGCCAGATGTTAATGAATTCTTATGCAAGTTGTACGAGTTGTTGGTTTGTTATTGTCCCCTTTTTCATTAGAGTAGATAATTGATTTGTGTCTGTACTATTTCCTAACCATAAGAAGACAAGTTGCTCAATCTTGAAGATATTCTGCAACTATTTTTTAAAATTTTGAATAGTATGTTATAATGCATGAATGTAAGTGTGTTATTTTTACTTTCTCCTACTTACTAATGTAAGAAGAGAAAGTATTGTAATTGTGTGATGGAAAACAGCAATTTTTCAAGTGAGGTCTGTTGCAAAACTTTGCAAGTATTATTATAAGTGCAAAACAAGTAATTATTTTTTTTTAAAAACATTTATTTTGTGAATGTATATATAATTCTCAATATTTTCCTACACAAATTCCTTGCTGTTTCAATAACTTATTTATTGAAATTAGTACATATCGAATTTTTGATTCCCTACTCGCAGTGATGATAGTCGGTAATGGTTGATGTAACTTCATTAGTGCCTAAGTAATTTATTTTGCTGTAAGTTCTCAGATGCAATTTTAAACAAAATAGTTCTTGAAACTAGTGAAAATTGGGATGATAAATTTAAAATTGTGAAACTCCTGTCTGCGCCAAGTACAATGTAGTACAAAGTTGCCAGTTATGTCAGGTGGCCTAATTCTTTATTGACATTTTTTTAACATTCTTTGAACAATTTCATCCTTCAACTTTTTGCCCTATTTAGTATAGACAATGTTATGTAATGCTGTAAAAAATTGATGTGGATATACAAGCAGATATATGCTTTTTGAGTTCACCAATTCAGAAAGCTGATTTCCCTTTCCTTCTTCAAAACATCCAGCTCACCACCCACTATTTTTTAAACTTTTTCAAAGCTGGCTCCCAAGTTTTTTTCTTTACATTTGTGCTTCAATAAAGAAGATTCTATTGCATATAATGAAAATTCTATACTTTTAAAAATAGCACTTGTTCAATTTTCAGTAAAGCCTTTTAAATTTTGAAAATTTTTAAGATAAAAAATTGTTGGTCCACGTTCTAGAACTATATTTTCAAAGATAAACATCCTGTTTTTTGTGAATAAAGCATATACTTCAAATTTATCTTTAAAAAATATCATACAATTTTTTCAAAATATGACTCCCATTGTGAATGAAACATAAAGAAGATATATTAAATAAACATAAACATGATTTTCTCAAAATAGCTTCAAATTCTTTCTTTAAAGTTTTTGCTCGAATAGAGCAAATTTTGTGTAATAAAAAGGCAAAATACCAGTTTTCATAGAAATCTGAGTTTCCTACTTCTCTTCATCTCATCACTTTTTATCTTCAATAATGAAACTCCAAAAGTTCTAATTTTCTCCTATACCTTAAATATTGTGGGTGGAGATTTCTTACTTAAAGCAATATATTCTTTAATAAATGCTCTTTAAATAATTTCATGTGCAGTTATTTCAAAGTATTAGTAGTTTTTGGGTATTTTTTTAAATTATGTTATTAGATTTTTTCAGCTGGTGGCTGAAATGTTGGTAGAACAGATGGTGCTGTATTTTAATATTAGGTTTCTGTTACCAGTAATTAGAAAGTACGTGCTTTTATGACACCATTGATTTTGGCCATCATTGTCACTCCTCTTGTAACCAACTTACATTACATGCCCAAGGTTTTCTTGCTCTAATGACTGACATTATTTTAGTGAATGAGGCACTCACTTTTCTTTAACACCACGACATTTACAGTGATGCCATGCTTTCATATGGTGGTGAATTATGCACACACATTGTGACAATTAGTACTCCCACCACACTTGACGTGCACAGAAAAATACTCAAAGAATTATCAAATGTACTTTGTTTTTTAAAAATAGCACTTTTACATTGGTTTTCTCCAAACCAATGGTATATTTGTGGCAGGATTTGGTTCTGCAAGATGTTTAAATCAGTTTTACTGGTTTGCCTCATTGCAGTTTTAACTATGAATAATTTGCAGTGATGTGCACAAATGGAACATTGTAAATCATAACTTTTGTGGGATTCTTCATGATTTACCCACATACAGAGAATATACATTTCTTCATATCAGAAGTATCCCATTGTATACTGCTGTTAACTTTATCAATATCCACAAAATATCTGCAAGCACAAAGAATAAATGTTTTGATACTCTATGTACCTATAAGGTATTTAATGTCATACATAACACGCAAGGATTTAAATTCTAGGTTACACCTTCAAGAATCCCGCCATTGCTTGCCCAGGCAAATCAACGTCCAAAGAGTCCCCAAAGCAGCTGCTCAGGAAAAGTTGGGAATTTGACTGGCATGCAATTCACGGTAATTAACAAAGTTTAAATGAATTTTAAACATTCTAAATATCATGTGATATATTAGAAATAAAGTAATAAGTATTTATCAATAAAAAGATATTCTTCCTTTTCAATTTAAGATATTCAGATTTATTTTTAATTAAACATATCTTTATAAACCAATGTACTCTAATATAACCAGCATATTTTTTTCAAAAGTTGCTTGCTGACAATTGGGCTGGGGGTAATATTTGAGTCAATGTTGGAACCACGAACTTCAAGCATGTTGCACACGATCACATGGCAGCGTGGGTTATAGTTCGGATCAAGCACCTCTTGATATGGTCGTGACTTCTAGCGGCACGACCGAGAAAGATGTGAAACTCCTGACATAATGCGGGCCTTGATGATGTGTCTGACATGATAACGGGCCTTGAGGCACAGCTTTATAAAAATCGCACTCTAACCAGGTGGGCCTTTGAGCATTTTTTGTAGGATTCCTTTCCGTAAAATTAGGGTGCAGTTTATATTTGAGTGTATATGGTATCTAAATTATATAATAAACACTATATATAGTGCATGAAGATGGCTGCAAGATATTAGCTGAAATGTCACAATAACTTATAATATAGAAAAAGAATTAGTTATGTATAAATAAAAATGAATCTTAATGTCTTCAATTGAAGAGGAACTGATTTTTTATTAATAAGACTATAGACGTTCATTAGGAGAAGAAGGAAAAGTTTTAATAAGTATTTAATTTTTAGGCTCCTGGAACTTGTACAACACCTGCAAAAATGCACACTTTTTTTTTTGAGGCGAAAGGAACTGGAAATTTCCCTCAAAGTAAGTATACTGTAATTGTTGTTGAAGTTAATAGCCTAGTAATTAAATATTAGTGCTGTTATTGAAAATAATTTTTCAGAATATGCACCAAAGCCTGAAGTCTATAGAAGATCAATTGCGTGGACTTATTACCTACCAAATGGAATGAAACCAAAGCGACTGGCATGGGGACAGCAGAACCTGGAAAAAATCTGGTGGAATACTGTTTTTTCTGATGTTGCATTGTTTGGTTTGGAAGGAAACCGCATTAAGTATTATGAAACGTCTGACCTCTCTAAGATAGGGAGTGAATTGTTATGGGTTTTTCGGACATTTGATGGTCCAAATATAATGGTTCCTTTAGGTTTCTCTCTTCATGACTCTAATTTTGCAAAGATGTTGAGAAATCAAGTTATTAGAAGCATGAAGGATCATTACAGAACTGGTGATGTTACTCTTCAATTCCTAGATTCATTGAAAAGTCAATTTGATTCAAAAATTGTGAGAGATGAGCTTGCGATAAATTCCATTGCCGTTTCTGAATGGCCTACTTCTGCCAAAGACCTGTCTCCTATATATCATGCTTGTAAGCTCATTGGTGAAAAAGTAAAAAACATTCCATGTTCCTCTAAACAAGAAATGATTTCTATTTTATTGGGCATGTGGGAAAAGGATTCAGATGTGCAGATGATGTGTTCTAAAATAATAGAATTTTTGCCACAAATAATTAAATCTGTAGTTGAACGAAACGGTAATTCTCCAAGGACTAATGTAAGATATGTTATCACAAAATAGAAACTCCCTATGTGATTCATGAAGTATCTTGTGTAAAAGAGTTAATTTTAAGGTAATTTTTATGAGGTTTGGTGAAAAACATTTTTATACGTATTTTTCCTTAAGAACTCTGGAATCAACGTCACTTTATATTCAGTGTGATACAACATTCAACCTTACTGATGAAAATAATTACTTTTGCTTTGTAATATGCCCAAGATTCAGTAATTATGTTTGCAAACAAACATTGCTTATGAATGAATTTTTCATCTTACATTTCCTTCTGCAACAAGAAACAAGCTCCTTTACTAAAACTATGTGGGTCAGGTGAACTGAAAATCACATTTGAGTTCAAAACCTACTTGCTAATATTAACGTGAGCTTCTCTTTCACTGATGTATTTGTATACAACTTCAGATAGAAAGTGAGTTATAAGCCAGAATCACACATTCCACGACAAACTGCTACAACCATAGGTATTACACTATAACAAAGTTTATTGAATTATGCTAACTGTAACTGTCAAAATTTAATACTATTTACAGAAACCCAGTTGCCAAAATGTTTCCTAGGAGTACCTGATTCCAAATTCTTCTTATATATTTGTTTTGATTTCTAGTCATTGTAATTGCAAATGATGTTATTTTTGTCTGTGATGTTTTTACTTTCCTGTAGAACGAGAAACAATTTTTGAAAAAGTCTATTCTATGAACCTTCTAAGTCTGATCTTCATTTGAGTATAAATATTTTATATATTTAATTACAATTATTTTGCAGATTTTTTTCCATTCTTGACAGAAGACAAATATTTAATGGAAATCATGTGCAATAATCCCTGTGACTTGAATGGTTTTATTTCATTTTGTAATAATGTCATATGTATGTAATATTTTGTGAAGGACAAAATATAGATTGAATACTTTGATTTTCCAATAGAAGTTCAATATGTAGGTGTTATGAGATTCCCTTTTTTTGTTTTTTCTTTACATTTATTTATAAATGTAAGAATATCCATTGCGATAAACAAATTAATAGAAAAGACAACTTGCATCAGAGGTATGTAAGTATATAAAAAGATAAATAAATCATAAAATTTGGAAAATAATTTAGCAGTAACAGGCATGAATTATTTAAATTAAAGACAATAAAATCGAAGCATTTCAAATAGGTAATACAACTACCCAAGGATATTCCAAATTTTATTGTACTCTCTAATTCATTACTGTATGCAACACTTTCTTCAAGTCATTAAAGTGGATCTAATTCGTTTTGTGTCAAAATTTGGAAAATATCTAGTTCTAGATATAACAGTAACATTAACCAAATGAATTAATTCATCTCCAGAATGAGGTAAATCTGTGTCATATATGTCAACAATTGTTTTTTTTTATTACATATTACAACCATTATTATTAAAAAATAAATCATAAATAATTTTTCAACATTTCAGTGAGTGAAGTGGTACAGATATCAAAAAGGAAACAGCTTCAGTCTTGTTGAGATGAACACTTTAAGGTGACTAAACCAGAGAGACATAGTTATGTGGAGACATTATTCATTTGCTGATAATCGCAAATACATTATTACTCGCTCAATACTAATTATTCAACAAAATCAGATATTTTTAATAAATAAAACAAATATTCTTTCTTTTTTATGACAATCATGATGTATGTTAATCATCAAAACAAAGTTAATTTTTCACGCAATGTTTCGCATGCTGAATTTGGGCATCTTCAGGTGTGTTTAAAGTGGTTAGAGCGAGATATTCCGTAGTAGACACAGTCCATATACATTCAAATATATTTATTTGCAAGGTGTGTGTTTTGTGAGACTAGGGACTCTTATGATGAGTTTTATTTAATTATACGAATGAATTTAGTTTCATAGATGGAGAATAAAAATATTTCAATATTACATAAAGATGACTAGTTTCTTAAGTAATACCAAAAGATCGCATCACTAAGGAATGAAAAGTTAAGGCATAAGATTGAATATAAAATATCGTTATTACGCAATTAGCAAGAGAAGTTATAAAAAGTAAGATTATAGACATATATCTACTTTTTTAACAATGATCACTAGTAGTGACCAGAATTTTCTCATTTGTAGAGCGAAAAGTCTTTGGTAAATTGGCCCCTGGCGTAATGTTCTTGAGATTGGCATACCTGCTCAGTGTTCATGCTGCTTCAAAGTTTCGTTTTGAATCACTGAATTCTATTCGTTGCCTGGTCAACAAGCGGAAAATATCACTGTCTGAGCGAGTTGTAGGAAGATCTGTTTTCAGAGTGAAATTTGAGAAAAGACTACTAATTCCTTCCTATGTCACACAGAACAGTGACATAATAAAAGGTTTTCAAATATTTTTTAATGCTTGCTTCTAATTTTTATTTCCTTAATTATCTGAGCCAATGGTAGGATAAACTTAAAGATGCCGAAAAGCATTTTTCTGCTAATAATAAACATTCAGATTTCTTAAGCATTTATTGTAGGATTTCTCGAAATTCGCTAAAGCCAATGATCGGTTATAGTACAGTATCTAGTTAATATTTTCTCTGTCAATCATATCGGGGACAATTCTCAATATTCAGTATTACAAAAGAAAATGAATTCGCATAGTACACGGTACCTAATTTTTAAAAAAATAATTATTCAGAGAAAATAAGAGTAATTTCGTCGCCAATGATGCAATGCGGAGTCAGTTACTGCTCCTTGTTACGCAGTTTACAATAGTTGGCGATCCAACAGGGTTGCCAGGAGCTCTTTCCCCACCACCACTACTGCATTTTCCCAAGTAACCTCTCCAATGAAACGAAAAATATTCTCCAAATTATGACAAACGACTTGAGCTGGCCCTCGATCCCACCAACGATTCCATGGGTTGCTATTCTTAAGTTGATTAATATATTTATAGTATTTATAAATAATCTGATCTTCCATTATATTTTCAGCTGGAATATAATAACAGTTGTAACAGAATTTTGTAGTTTTATTAATTTTTTGGAATGTTCGTTTTCCCGTAGGACTACTAATAGCGAAATAACAGCCCAGTTTGAGTTGATGATGACGGGAAATTTGTGTAAAACCGTATTTTGTTGATCACGTGGCAACGCAGCTGTGAAATTGCACTTCGCCTTAAACGAGATCTTGCACGCCAGAATCATCCACTCCCATGGAGACTGATTTTCGCAGGACGTGGAATTTTACTTCTGCCAGTCATGATCAAGACGACTCGATGTAAAAGAGTCAAACCGTTAAAGGATGTTTCAAATATTTGAACCTCATAAGGTTTGTAATTCGATATCTTGTGACTCCTTACCCAGAGTGCAATAGGGTAATGAAAGAAATGCTATTGAATTGTGAGATCAAATAAGGTACGTTGCTACAACCACTATTTTATTGATAAAATACTAGTTTTATCTTGTTTATCAATCTTCTTGACTGACTGGCACTTGCTTTATCTCCAACATCTTGTATATCACCCCTTAATTAAAGTTCATCCTAAAATGTTCATCTCCAGATCCACGTTTTAATAATAATAATATGCCTTTATTGATAAGGCGAGGCTCGTGCCAACAGGCCCACTCTTCAGCCTAACCCCTTGTCACAAATATACGGATTAGTCTAAAAAAGTAATGTAATATAAAAAAAATAAATGTAATATAATCTGCAAGTAGTAAGTAGTTAATGGAAAGCAAACGTTATTTAAAGCGACTTATAAATAGATAACGTCAGATTAAATGAATACAATGTTACAATAACACGTTTGAAATAATTTTAAAATTCATAGACGGAAATTGAAAATCCAATTTGAATTAAATAAGATATTATGTACTTTACATATCTGCGCGCTACGCGGCAGCCTGGTATTCGCCCCGAGCGACTCTGACCTATTAAGGGCCGGTTTCACCAAACAAAGAGTAAGTTTACTCTGGAGTAAATCATGTTTACTCGAGAGTAACTTCTTGGAGCGTTTCACCAACACTTTACTCGAGTGTAAATCGCTTACACGAGAGTAACTTTACACCGCGAAAATCCGCCGGGTAAAGTACGGAGTAAATTCAGTTTTCAACGTGCATGTACCTCCGAAGTGTTGTTACGGTTCGACGATTACGAATGATAGTATTTGTAGACGATTCCAGCAATGATTCGGAATATTATCCACTAAGAGCGTAGGCTTCCGCGGCCGGAGTCAGTATTTACTAGGCTGTCCGGGTGACGCCGCGTCCATGGCGAAGGTGCCGACGTTTCGGTCGCCATTCTGCGACCTTCCTCAGGGCGTAATTTACATTACGTTTCGGTCGCCATTCTGCGACCTTCCTCGGGGCGTAATTCGCATTACGCCCTGAGGAAGGTCGCAGAATGGCGACCGAAACGTCGGCACCTTCGCCATGGACGCGGCGTCACCCGGACAGCCTAGTAAATATATTATCCACTAGTGCGAAGACAAAGGGTGCGAGAGAGAATGGATTGGTTTTAATTATGACGATCGAGATTTTGTCACGAGGTAATGTTTGACCAAAATCAGCTTCATCAGATACTTGTAGGGAACTTGTAAATTTATTTTTCGCCCATGTGGATACGAAATAAAGGTATTACGTACCGTATACAACAACAAAAGGAAAAATAATAACTACAGGGGCTACAAGTACTTAGAAATATGTATTTATTTAGTAAAAAGTGTATGTGACGTATGGGAGAGATCATTTGCACACGTTTTCTTGAGTTCCAGAATCCCTTTCCAACATTTTAACTATAAATGTTCAAAGTTGAATACAAGTTTAAAAAATAAAACAAATAATAATAATAATGAAATTTAGAAAAACGCAAGATCAGCAACATTTGAAAAAATAAAACATTTTCGTTCCCGAGTAATAGAAAATTTATTTGCATTGCCATCGGTAAACGAACTGCAAATTTGATTTTTCTGCATTGCTAACAAAATAGTAACTCGTCTCCAGAGAAGAAGAATGAATATTTATTAAGAAATATACAGAAACTAGGAAATAAACTATGCTAACTCAAACCACCACAACACCACACCAGATTATAACGCCAAAAACTCCGAAACTGAAATGAATGATAGAATATAAGGAATTAATCAAAGGTTCACGTTGGTCCGCATTGGTTCCCAGCGTCATTCTCGCTCACAGCCTCTTGAATCACTCTCAAATATTGTGATTTGCGGTGTAAATAAGAGAGTATGTACTCTAGAGTAAAATAACCCTCTAGAAGCATGGTGAAACGCTCATATTCTTCTCGAGAGTTACTATCTTGGAGTTAATGGTCACTCTTGGGTAACTACTCTCAACTTTACTCGGCTGTTGGTGAAACCGGCCCTAATACAGAAAGACAGCACCTCACCCGCCGCTCGATCCTCGAGGAAACCCCACCAGGGAGGCTGCGTTCGTACACAATGGAAACTGAGTTAACATGAAGTAACGGGTCTTTGGGATGGTATCCTCAGCTGCGGTCCATGCTGTAAAGGTTCGTTTTCTTGTTTAGTTTGTAGTATCAAACAGGTCACAAGAAAGTAATTTTTTTACAAAAGAACATTAATGCTATTTCTAAAACATTAATCAGTTCTTCACACTCCTAAGGGATTGGCTTCATTTGCCCGGAAATCTACTGTGATTTAAATTGCAAAACGACGTATTCTACTTTATAAGAAAACCATTCAGGTGCTTCTTAAAAGATGTTAATGAGGAGCAGTTATTAGTATTGGAAGACAATTTATTCCATTCCCGGGCTACAATAATTGCGAACGATTTATTGTAGTAGTTGGTTTTGCTTTTTGGAATACAGAGTAACTGGGGTTTCTGAAATCTAGAGGATTTAAGATGTACGAAATAATTTGTTAAGTATGACTGGGAACCAATTTTTAGCATCTTAAATAAAAGACAAAGGCTGTGATACAAACGCTTACCCTTTAGTGTTAATAGTTTGTGCTCTTTATAAACACCGAAAATGTGATCGTGTTCTTTTATATATATAATGAAACAAATACAAGAATTTTGAGCCCTCTGTAGAGTTTGAGCGACTGAATCTTTCAAATTGTTATACACAATATCACAGTAGTCGAAATGAGGACACGGTAGG